TCGGAGGTAAAGGGGAAGAAACGACGCCCAGAGCGCAGCAAATGAGGAGATGGGCTGTCGCAGTCTGTCCACAAACCCTAAACCCTAAACCCTAAACCCTAAACCCTAAACCCTAAACCCTAAGCCCTAAACCCGTTCACCATGGGGCAGTCTACATATGGATCTGCATGGGTGTTTTCTTCTGCTGCAATGCGCAGCTTCGCCGTGTTCATCCCGGCACTCATCTTTAGGGTTTAGAGTTTAGGGTTTAGGGTTTAGGGTTTAGGGTTTATACCGCTGAATTCGCAGAAGCCAGGGAAGGAGTTGCGGGTCTCTCTAGAGACATGCTCCCACTTTAACTCCGGAACAAATTTATCTCCAGCAAAAATTAAAACAAACAAAACAGTCAACTGGTAGGCAGCCTGGCCCAAGATGTTCCGACACATCTTCTGAACAACAAACCCTAAACCCTAAACCCTAAACCCTAGATACTTTTTCCTATTTCCTAAGCCTTAAACTCTTAACTCTCGGCACTACTTCTTAAGCCTAAACCGAAGAACCCTAAACCCTAAACCCTAAACCCTCAAAATACTCCCATAGACCCTCTATCTGCTGGTTTCCGCGGCTTGTGGTTTTGATGGTTTGCTGTTGTTCGTTGAAGGGGTGTAATTTAGGGTTTAGGGTTTTTGTTTAAATCTACGTAGGCATATTTAGGGTTATGCAGGGTTTAGGGTTTAGAGTTATTCAGGATTATTTAGGGTTACTTAGGGTTATTTAGGGTTATTTAGGGTTATTTAGGGTTATTTAGGGTTATTTAGGGTTATTTAGGGTTTAGAGTTTAGGGTTATTTAGGGTTTAGGGTTTAGGGTTTAGGGTTTGCCTTCGTGACGAGATATTCATTTTTCGTGTGGGGTTTGCGGTGAAGGAGGCTGTCAGAAGGGGGTTCAGTAGCCAAAGCTAAGGAGGCGAGGGAGTCCATGATAAGATTGACCCAAAGCATTTGAACAGCACTTAAAGGGCTTTCTCTTAATGTTGCAGCTGCAGCAAATGAACACAGAAGAACCGCATATATATATATATATATAAATATAAATATAAACATATACAAATAAATATACGAAATGTAGTATGTAAGCATTATTATAGGTGTATTAAAGAGGCATAAGAAAACCCCTAAAGAGAATGCCCACCCTTATCCCCGTACACCCTAAACCCTAAACCCTAAACCCTAAACCCTCGCTCACCGCATATGAAGGAGGTAATAACTGCAACAACATTAACAGTTAGCTGAAACTCTAAGAATTTTTGTATATTTGTATAAATGCTGCGACCCCACTTAACAGCAGAGACAATACTCTCAAAGTTATCGTCGCGAGCAATACGATGTCTGCTGCTTGCTTCGCTACCTCCTTCCCTGCTCACACAAACCCTAAACCCTAAACCCTAAACCCTAAACCCTAAGCCCTAAACCCTAGATACGCCGTAAACCCTAAATCCTAAGTTTATACTATACCGTAAATAAACACTTCACACTAAACCCTGAATAAACCTTAATCCCTAAATAAACCTTAAACCCTAAATAAACCCTAAACCCTAAACCCTAAACCCTCAGACACAACCCCGCACAATAAACACAACTACACCCCAAAGAAGAAACTTTCTTAAACCCTAAACAGCAACATCCAACATCCCCACACCCTGAATACGAACAACCCTAAGCCCTAAACCCTAAACCCTAAATAAGAAACAGGTGTAAACCCTAAATTCTAACCTCTAACCCCTTAACACCCCAAAACCCTAAACCCTAACAAAGACAGACAACTATACCGTGCCAAGAACCTCCCTAAACCCTCACTATCCTTAAACCCTAAACCCTCAACTATGAGGACCCTGCATATAGCCTAAACCCCTTCCTTTCGCCGCTTGCGTGTGTGGCTGTGCTCCCCGTAGGGTTTAGGGTTTAGGGTTTAGGGTTTACCGGTAATGCCCATAGCAAAGCCTACGTCTGCTGTCTTCAGAGCTGGAGCATCGTTTGCCCCGTCGCCCGTAACCGCAACAACTAAACCCAGTTGTTGTAACCCCACAACAAGCGCAAACTTATCCATTGGCTGAGATCGGGCTAACACCTCCAACCTGCAAACCCTAAACCCTAAACCCTAAACCCTAAACCAGAAACCAGAAACCAAAAACCATCAACCCTAGACCCTACACCCTATACACTAAACACTAAACACTAGATCCTAATCCCTAAACCCTAAACAATAAACGCTAAACCATAAACCCTAAACAATAAACCCTAAACCCTAAACCCTAAACCCTAGGAGTGTGTGTGTGTGTTCGTGCCTAGGCGCAATTTGTTTAAATGCTTCGATGTCTTTAACAACATCTTTGCGTATTCTTCTTCCTTCTTTATCTCCTGAAGCATCGCCTACTGGGCAGTCACAAACCCTAGTTAGACAAATGCTACAAACTACCCCCCCAACTAAACGGCTGAACTCCGCTCCAGTCAGAGCCAACCCATCTGCACACACACCGCAAACCCTAAACCCTAAACCCTAAACCCTAAAGTTTAAGTTCTAGCGTTTGAGTGGTAGTATACCCTCAACCTTTCGCAGAGAGAAACCCTAAACCCTAAATACATACAAAATCTAACAACCCCTAAACCCTAAATAACATACGAAACCCAGTTGATAATGCTGTGCTCCTCCGTCTAAACCCTAAACCCTAAACCCTAAACCCTAATAAACCCTAAATATGCCCTTCCCCCAAATCATAACGATCCCTAAACCCTAATTCCTAAACAAAGCAAAACCCTGAAGACCCCAAACCATCGCCAACCATCGCTGAACTAAACCCTAACCCCCTCTAAAACCCTAAACCCTAAACCCTAAACCCTAAACCCTAAACCCCTACCTTCCTCCGGATGAAAGATGTTGCACTTAATAGCTATTTGCTTCGCTGTCTCCAGATTGTCTCCCGTCACCATACGCACGCGAATACCTGCAGCTTGACATGCCCGCACTGCTGCCGGCACTTCCTCACGCACTGGATCCCTGCAAACCACAAACCCTAAACCCTAAACCCTAAACCCTAAACCCTATACCCTATACCCTAGACCGAAGACCGTACACCCTAGACGGTAGACGGTTGCTGATTTGCAGGCTGCTCGGGCGTGGGCGTTGGGGAGTTCTTGCCAACCCTAAACCCTAAACCCTAAACCCTAAACCCTAAACTCTAAACCCTAAACCCTAAACCCTAAACCCTAAACCCTAAACCCTAATACCTGACCTGATTCCAAAGATGGCAAGGCAGGTGAGCTTCGTTTCTAAGCGGGAGAAGGGGGAGGCGGAGTCTTCTTGGTCTTCATTTATTTCTTTTCTTGTTGCAGTTATATCTTTAAATGCTACACAGACTGTACGCAGACATTCTCCAGCCATATACTCTATTACCCTTCGTTCTATTGCTGTTGTTAGCTCCTCAGTCAGAGGCACCACACACAAATCAGCAGACAGGTTCTCGCTGCTGCTGCTGCTGCTGCTGCTGCTGTTGCTGCTGCTGCTGCTGCTGCTGCTGCTGGGCATAGCTGCTGCTAGAGAAGCAGGAACGACAAGGTGGGAGCAAAGACGTAAAACCTTCTCTGCTGCTCCCTTCACAAACACTCTGTAAGCCCCCACTTCATTGTCTTCCCCTGCTGCTGCTGCTGCTGCTGCTGCTGTTGCTGTTCCTGCTGCTGCTGCTGCTGCTGCTGGGGGCTCAACTGCAGCGAGAAGACGATTGCTGTTGCTGGCTGTGCTGCAGCGGCGGCTGTCAGTGCTGCTGCAGCTGCTGCGTCTGCTGCTGCGGCTTCCTCTTCTTCTTCTCTCCTTTGTTGCTGCTTCTCCTGGTTGAGGCAGGGGCAGCTGCAGCAGCAGCGGTTGCTGCTGCTGCTGCTGCTGCTGCAGCGAGATAACAGTAGTCATAAATTTACGATCGCTGGTAAAGGGTTCTCTAAAGACAGGCTGAGACGCACAAACAGTAAAAAATAAAACAAAAGATAGACAAACAAACAATAAAAAGAAACAAAATAAATGAAGAAAGAAGAGACAGAAGAAAATAACAAAGGAGACAGAAGAAAATAAGAAAAGAAAATAACAAAAAGTAATGAAAGGAGAGCCTGGAGGAGACAGCCGGCTAGCAAAGAAGACATTTGTTATTTGTCTCTGTTTTTATCGTTATCTTGCAGTGTACAGACAGCTTTGAAGGAGGGAGCAGCAGCACTAAAGAAGTACTTGGTTGAGGTGTATAGGCAGCTACAGCTTACGTCGCCATATAGCAGCAATTGCTGCCTCCTTAATTCTTCTGCAGAATAACCTAAGAAGGAAACAAACTCTAAGAGAGCACATTCTGTAGGGCTCCCCACATGATGCGGCCCTTCATCTGCTGCTGCTCCTGCTGCTGCTGCTGCTGCTGCTGCTGCTGCTCCATCCGCAGCAGCAGCAGGAGCAGGAGCAGCAGCAGCAGCACCAGGGGTCCAGCAGCAGCAGCTACTCCGCAAAGACCTTGTTGCTTCTCCTCTAGATAAGGGCTCATCGCATGCATCTACCCCGATGCTGCCGGTGCTGTTTAATATAACAGAGGAAGCCAAAAGCTGCAGCAAACAAAACAATAAAAAGAAAAGACAGATAAAGACAGAAAAAGATACGTAAGTACAAATAAACAAATAAATATAATTACATCATCAACAGGGAGAAGAAGAAAATAAAAATAAAAGGAGAGAGTAAGAAGAAGATGCAGAGCAGCAAACACAAAGAAAATATAAAAAGAACAGAGACAAACAAACAAACAAACAAATGTCAGTGGAGACAGAGAAAAAGAGATAAGAGAGATATAGATAGATAGGTAGATAGATAGATATATAGATAGATAGATAGATAGATAGATAGATAGATAGATAGATGGAGATAGAGATAGAGACAGAAACAGAGACAGAGAGATATGAACAAAGAAAACAATCAAATAAAAAACAGAAGCAAAGAAGAGAAACTCAATAAGTAGAAGCATCGTATTTAAAAGTACGGCAGAAGAAAGAGACAAAGAAAAGGAGACAGAGAAAATAGAAGCAAAAGGAGACAGAAGAAAACCTTCATTAAGCAGCAATGAGGTGTACATACACCTAAAAATGCGTCTTACGCTAGACCACTCTCTTTCTGTTATTCCTCCTTTTAAAAGCACCTCTTGCATTGCTGTCTCCTTGCTTCCTGCTTCTTTTGCTGCTGCTGCTGCTGCTTGTACGGGTCCAGTGCAGCTGTGAATCGTGTCGCGTTGTTTGTCCTGTGGGCTTGCTTCTCCTGCTGCTGCTGCTGCTGCAGCAGCAGCAGCAGCAGGAGCAGCAGCAGCACGCTGGAGGATTGCATCCCAGTTGGCGTCTCCTTTGTTTGCTGTTGCTGCAAGAGACTGCAAAAAAGTTTCAAGGTGTCTCTCCTCCAGGACGGGAGCAGCAGCAGCTGCTGCTCCTCCTGTTGCTGCTTCCTGCTGCTGCTGCTGCTGCTGCTGCAGCTGCTGCTGCAGCAGCAGAGAAGAGAAAGGATCTGAGAAGCCTCCTCTCCATAGTGATTCAACCTGCATTTTATTTTTCGTTAGAGTCCCCGTCTTATCGCTGCAAATTTCGTTGGCTCCCCCCATCGTTTCGCATGCAGCCAAACGCCGTACGTAGTTCTTGTCTTTCTGCATGCAAACCCTAAACCCTAAACCCTAAACCCTAGGGTTTAATTGCTAAGCGGTAGCACAAGCAGGATACAGCAATTTGAACGCCAAGTAATACGTCGGCCGAACATACAAAACAGCAACCCCTAGACAAAAACACAAACCCTAAACCCTAAACCCTAAACCCTAAACCCTAAACCCCAACTCAAACCCTAAACAATCAAGCCAGTAGCTGCAGCAACCCGCCATCAAGAGCAAAGCCCCTGCATTAATATTTATGCGCGAGGATGTGGAGGCGCCTTCTATTCAGGGTTTAGGGTTTAGGGTATTGGTGTTTGGTTTCCTATTTAAACCCCAGTGTTTAGGGTTTGACATGCGGTGTATATCGAATATACCCTGCAGAGGGAAGCTGTTCTCCTTCACTGCTCTAGGGTTTAGGGTTTAGGGTTTATGGTGGTGTGTGATGAGCCGGCTGGAGAGGGTTCTGCTGTTACCCTTCCGGCGCTCAGAATTTAGGGTTTAGGGTTTAGGGTTTAGGGTTTAGGGTTTGTGGTTTGGGGTGTCTTACGAGCATCCTGCCTACGGAGTATGCAAGAGAAATCGTAACTGCTAGCGGCAAACCCTCAGGCACAGCAACAACAACAATTGTAATTGCAGTAACGAAGAATTCAAGATGTTCTTTGCTGGCGTTAGCTGCAGAGGGGCGATCCTCTGGGGCAGACAGCCCGTACAGCACCCAGAACCTGAACCCGCAAACCCTAAACCCTAAACCCTAAACCCTAACTCCTAAACCCTAGAGAGTGAGAAACCACAAAAAACCACAAACACAAGCGCGGAAGGCTCCAAACAACGCAAAGAACGCCAAATCTATTCATACACCCTTTTTCATCCTAAGGTTTAGGGTTTAGGGTGTGGGGTTTAGGGTTTAGGGGCTGCGGACTGAACCACAAGGACGCAGAAGGTGACGCAGGCTGCAATAAAACCAATTCTCCCAATGTCTCGCGCAAGGGCGTTAAGTTTATCTGCGGCGCATGCGCGGCTTGAGGGTTTAGGGTTTAGCGTTCAGGACTTAGGGCTTAGGCTTTAGGGTTTAGCGATTGTTATTTCTTATTTATTTTGGGTTTACTCTGCAAGGGCGTTGGCTACTCCCCGACAGCAGTGAGGGTTTGTATGGGGATTAGGGTTTAGGGATAAAGGTTTTAGGGTTTAGGGTTCAGGTTTTATGGTTTAGGGTTTAGGGTTTAGGGTTTACTTTGCAGGGGCGTCGGCTGAGCGCCTACAGCTGTAAGGGTTTGATACATTTGTCCTTGTTGACTGTGGGGCCCCACAGCGATAACTAAAGCGGAGCCGCCTCCAGCAAGAACTGTGCTGCCTCCTACTAAGATAGGAGAATCAATCAAGTGATGCATTGGGGTGCTTCCGAAACCCACCTGTTGCTGCTGCTGCTGCTGCTGCTGTTGTTGCTGCTGTTGGTGTTGCATTGCGTCTATTTTTTTTGCTTGCATGCGTTGTATTTGCTGCAAGCATTCGGCTTCTGTTTTTTTTTGAATTTGTTTGTTTTCGCCTGTCATTCCGCTTTCATCTGTCTTTAAAGATACTCCTTGAACAAGAAGAAGATCTGCAGGAATTTCATCTCCAACTTCAACACGAAGTAAATCGCCAACCAACAAAGAAGATGTTAATAACTCTAATTCGCAGCCTCCTCGTACAACGCGGCACTTCTTCTCATCTACGATTAAAAAGAAAGAAAAAAGAAAGAAGATAGTCTAGCAAAGTTTATTTCATTATAATTATTTTATTCAATTAAATCAACTTCTTCTCATCTACAATTAAAAAGAAAACAAGGAAGAAAGAATATAATCTAGCAACGTTTATTGCATTATAATTATTGAATTCTATTTAGTTGAATTTATTTCTTCTCATCTACAATTAAAGAGAAAGAAAAAAGAAAGAAAATAGTCTATCAGAGTGCATTTCATTATAACTGAATTTGATTTAGTTGAATTTATTTCTTCTCGTCTACAATCAGGAGAAAAAAAGAAAGAAGATAATCTAGCAAAGTTTATTTCACCATAATAATTTAACTCTACTTAACTGAAATGAATTAAAAATTGAATTCTATTTAATTGAATTGATTTCAATTTGTTGATAAACAGTGAAGTGAAATTAAATTGAATAAATTGAAAAATGAAGCAAATCTGGTCATTCAACTGAAATTAATTAAATTAAAATTAAATTCAACGAAGTTAATTAAAATAAATTGAATATACTGCATTGAAATGAATGAAATTAATTGAATTGAAATGTATAAAAAAATGAATAAACTGAATTAAATGTGTGGATTTGGTGTAAATTATTCTAAATTAATTTAAATTCAATTGTTAATTTAATTTAATTTAATTAATTAGGTATTTAATTGCAATAAATTCAACTGAATTGAATTGAATTCAGGAGAATTGAATTGAATTGAATAAAATTGAATTAAATGCAGTTGAACTAAATTGAGATTAATCGAAGTAAAATGAATTTAATTTAAGTAAAATGAATTTAATTAAGATGTTAAATAAAATAAATTGACTTGAAATGAGTGAAAGTGAAAATAAATTGAACTGAAGTGAATTTGCGGCGTAGGTTTCACCACGGGTTTAATGTTTAGGGTTTTAGTGTTTAGGGTTTAGGGTTTATGTTTTCCTCTAAGTGCCTCTAGTTTGAGGAACTGTTTTCCTGCAAGGTTTCGCGTTTAGGGTTTAGGGTTTGGGGTTTAGGGTTATTGTTTGCCTGGAAGTGTTGCGAGTTTGCGGAATTGTTTCTCTTGATAACTTAGGGTTTAGGGTTTAGGGTTTAGGGTTTAGGGTTTGCCTCTAAGTGCCGCGAGTTTGCGAAATTGTTTTTCTTTTGCCCAGTCGTTCAGGGCGGTGACGGAGACGACGACGAGAACCGCCACCCAAATTGCAAACCCCTCCACCCACTCCACTTTAGGGTTTTCCCCCATCTGCAGCAGCAGCAATCATAAATACAAATAAATACGCATTCATCATCATCAGCAGCAGCAGCAGCAGCAACAGTAGTAGTAGTAGTAGTAATGGGAGGAGTAGTAGAAGTGGTAGTAAGGGCAAGCAGAAATACGATGCAGCATGCACACTCGGCAGCAGCAGCAGCAGCTGCAGCAGCAGCGTCTGCCTCGGTAGTAAACAACCAGACAAAGCACAAGAGATCATGAGCAGCAGCAGATGCAGCAGCAGTAGACACAGGAGCAGCAGCAGCATCACTATTACCAAGGGCAAGGCAGCAGCAAACGAGGAAGTAATAAGTAGCAGCAGCAGCACCGGATTGTTTGGGGTGTACACACAGCTCAATTTAGAAGCTGTTTGCCTCACCGTCACTCCTAATACAATCATCACGAGTCCAGCCACCATTAATATTCGCAAAGTAAAATCAGAAGCTGCGTCCCAGCAGTGACGCCAGAAGGCTGAAGAAGGAACGCAAAAAAATAAAAAGTAAGCAACTTGAAACAAAACGCAACACGACTATTCTGCTGTTCCTGCTATTGTTGCTGCTGCCGCTGCTGCTGTTGCTGTTGCTGCTGTTGCTGCTGCTGCTGCTGCTGCTGTTGGTGCTGCTGTTGCTGCTGTTGCTGTTGCTGATGTTCCTGCTGTTGCTGCATTTGGGGGGTTATTCAGATATAATGAAGACACGAAGCACGCACGCAACCCTCAACGAAGAAAACAACAAAATTATTCTGCACTTAGGGTATTATCTCCAGCAGCTAATAATTACCATCATAGACAAAGCAGCAGCAGCAGCAGCAACAACAACAACAACAATAGCAGCAACAACAACAGCAGGCAGTTTCACTGCTGCCGAGGCAGCTGCGGTTTGTTTTTCTTCGTTGTTTCTTCCGTACGTAACAAGGGTTTAGGGTTTAGGGTTTAGGGTTTAGGGTTTGATGTGTACGCGTTGGGGGCCTCTGGGGCAGCACATTCTCTCCAAATGCCTGTCGTCGAGCAGCCATGAGAGCTGCTTGCACTTCATCGAAACCTCCGGGGTGAGGGGGCCCCTGAAGGGGGCCCCCCTCCCCTGCGTTGCTGAGGCGGTGCTTCCCTGCTGCTGCTGCTGTTGCTGTTGCTGGAGCTTCTGCTGCTGCTGCTGCTGCTGGTGCTGCTGCTGCTTGAAGGGCCCCCTCAGGGGGCCCCTCTGAGACGCAGAGACCCAGCCGCAGGTCTGTTTGCAGCGCGCTTGCCAGTGCTGCTGTACCCCCCATCTTCTGCAGCAAATCTAATTCTTCGTGGTGCGTGCGGGAGAGATATAAATTTACCAGCTCTATAGACAAACACAACGCAAACACTGCTGCATTTTTGCTGCTTGCCTACTGCAGCTCCTGCAGCAGAAACGGGTGCCCCAACCGCAGCAGCACAGACAGCTGCAGCACGGCGCAGCCACTGCGGCAACCAAACAAGCAAACAACCAGCTACTGCTGCAGCAGCAGCAGCAGCAGCAGTAGTGTCAGCCGCTGCGGCAGCAGCAGCAGCAGCAGCAGCTGATACTGCTGGGGAGTTCGCGCTAGTGGACGGCTGCTGCCTCGCTAGAGGGTGCATGCAGACCTGTGAGTTGTTCTGCTGTAACTCCAAAGGGGTAACTGCTGTTGAGAGGGTTTTCTTCTCTTTCTGCATGCGTTTGCTGCTTCGTGGGAGCCACCTGCTGCATCACAGAGTGCAGCAGCCCCTTGAAGCCTGCAGGGGAATGAGGGGCAGCTTGCGCTGCACCTGTAGGATATTTTGCTGCATCGGAAGCTGCTGCTGTGGCGTCCACTGCCGCTGCAACTGATGTTGCTGCTGCTGCTGCTTCTGCTGCTTCTGCCCCCGTTGCAGCAGCAGGCGAGAAACCGGTGCTGTCATGGGACCTGTCTGTAGGAGAGAGGCCCTGCTGCTGCTCAAGGGCAGATAGAGGGGCCTCCTGCTGCTGCTGCTGCTGCTGGAGATAAGAAGGAGGGGGCCCTGCCCCTTGATTTGTTTCAGCTGCCTCACCGCGCTGCAGGGAAGACGGGGGGCCCCCTTCAGGCCCCCCCTGTGAATTAACCTGTTGCAGCATCGAGAGCTGAACCTGCGGTTATCTGTTCTTCTCGATTGTACGTACACCAGAATAGAGGCAGACAGGGCTCTGCCAAGGGCGAGCCGCTAGAAAAAGAGGAAATCTGCAGCTGCAGCAGCAAGCCGCAGAGCGCTGCAGCAGCAAGTAGCGAGGAGTTGGGTCTCCAGGGGAGTAAAAGGGTTTGCTGCTGCGGCTCAGTTCGCCTTGAGGCGTGTGTTGCGATGTCTCGGCTGTACCTTTAGTGAAATAAATGGCAGAGACGTTTTAAAGGAAAGAAAACAACGATAGAAGACGCCCACTGCAGCAAGCAGCACGAGGGGAGGATGCAGAAAGTAGAGCCCCAAAACCTTTCTCTCCTCCCTATGGACTGCTGCTAAGAAGAGAAAAGAAGAAAGAATAAACTGCAACTGAATATTTTCTTCTTTGTCTTGAAAATACTAAACAGAGGGGCCGGGCCCCCAGGGGCCCCTGAGTGACCTCGATGATGCACGAGGGAGGGGGAGAGGGCGTATGGCTGTTTTGCTGAGACCTTAAAGAGAAAACCAATGATTAAAAGAAAAATTCTTTAAAGTTTTATATTGAAAACTTTAAACTAGACTTGTTTCCGCAGGAGGGGGAAAAGAGATAGAAGAAAAGGGCCTTCATTCCTATTCATATGTGTCTATTGCAAGAGCCGACGCAAAGACGAAGTACGACGTGGAAACCGCCCCTGTCTATACACAACGAAACCTGTTTAGTTCCTTCAAATAAAACACAAAGAAATCATTTAACTGAAGTTTTTGATTGAAAATAACTACGCACAGGGGGGCCCCCAGGAGACGCATGCGCTGGCTGCTGTGTGCAGGTGCGCAGAGGACCGGTGATGGATGGTTGCTCAGGCCTTGCCTTGTTTGCTGGTGTATATCCTTTTGAATTGCATTTCAAAAGATGAATTAAATGAAAATATTCTTCATTCATTGCATTCTTTCCTCCTCGTTTCTGAACGAAGCGCCACCAACCTCCGAAGGCGGCGTCGTGCAGCTGAGCTGTCGCCTGCAATCATTCAAAAAAGAAGGAAACTAGACGATCTTCTTCATTTATTTCGCAAATAAATATTTAAAAGCAAATAAATAACTTTATTCAAATAGATAATTACAGTCCCAATGGCGGCAGTTGCTCCCGAGCTACACCTGCCACTGGTTATGCAGGTTCCCTTCAAGTCGTTTGTTTGTTCAGATATTCTGTCTGTCTGCAAGAAAATGCAGTTGAGTGGTTTTCTGTCTTTAATATCTCTTTTTAAACGGACTTGTGAATAAAAGAGATATATTTGCCTCCTGAAAACGATCTAAATGAGTCAGTTTGTCTGAGCATTGAGCTCAAAGCAGTATGATGAACTCGTACAAATTGGTATTATTCATATTCTGATGACGACGGCCTTTCTCCGAGGGTTTGCTCCAAATCTGTGAGAAATTCAACTTCTTGTTGTTGCTGAAGATGAGAACATAAAAATAATTTCAAATGCCTTTTAAAAAGGGAAGGAGTTGTTCAATTTATGAATGGACTAGGCAAGTATATACGATTTATTTTTCTTTTGTTTGTTTTTCTTCGCTTAATTGTTCTTACGTCTCCCATCAAAGATTGAAAAAATTCACGTTTCTTGTGCATTGAATCTTCAACTTCTCGCTGCCTGTTTCTTTCTTGTTGCAAGAACATCGACATATCCGTCTCCGGCCCGTCGGGCAGTTTTCCTTCATCTAAAACGAATGATATATCTCCCTCATTCAAGATTTTATTTTTCCTCTGCAATCTAATGACGAGTTAGCCAATACCTACCGAGGTGTATATTGATGATAGGGTAAGGCGGAGGGGTCTAATGATCGCAACGTTGTATTGTTATTCTGTTTGTTTATAAATACTGTTTATATTAATCTACGCTTGTTAAGTCCTACTTTGTCACGATCCAATCGTGCACGGCTCTCAGAAAAGCGGAAACGCTGCAGAGAATGTGCGAAAGGTAGTAGGAAGAAGAGGCAAGATGTCGCGATTAAGGGGTAAAATGAAGCCATATTAATATTAGAACGCCAGTAGAAACTCCTTAATTTTCAAAAAAAGAGGAAAGCAAAGAAACAAAAGTAACACGCGAATGAAATGCCGCGATCAAGAGCTGCCTATACACCCCAAACGAACGTCACCCATACACCACAGTGGAAAGCGACTGAAATAAATCGAAAAAAATTTAATTCACCATTCGAAACCTTTTCTATGACAAGTATATTACTCTTTTTACTGTGGGGACAGATATAGTGGAGTGCTACGAGTCCTCGATCGTAGACAGGGGCAGTCAGTGAAATAACACAATACTGTGCATTGTAATATAATAATGAAATACAGCAATATAATATCAAATAAAATAATATAATGTAACATAACATAACAATGTAATACAGCATAACATTATATAATATGATGGAATATAACATAATATAGCATAATATTGTAAGGAGAAATATAATCAATATAATTCATTACAAGAGGAAAAACAATGAAAAGGGAACACCAGGCGCCTAAATGGAGCACAGAGGGACAAATTTGAACTATAGAGAGGACAGAAGGACGCAAAAGAGAAATTCTTTTAATATATTTTTTGCTGTCTCATTGCAGCCGCTGCTGCACAGCAACAGCAACAACGGCAGCACAACCCCACCAGGAAACACTCAGTAAACGGGGATCTACAGACACTACTTCGATGCTCTTCAGGAACATAACTATAAACAACTGTTGAATATTCATTTTTTAGCCTTCTGCAGCCAGCCTTAACCCACGAAGAAATTGAAAAAACATCAAACGAGACAGGCGCTGCATCATCTAGCTACAAAGGAGAACGACAGATTCTCAGGCCTGTCACAAGCTGCCTATATACTGTGTAAATTTAATTGAATAAAGAATTCAAAATTTAGAGGAATTTATTTCAACTTTCCGCTTATTTGAACCCACACCTTCGCCAACGGTCTGTCACACAGCACGTACACCCGAAAACAATCTGCTGCGCCTGGCGGCCCTTGCTGTTGTTTCTCCTATATATCTTCGTTGACTTTTCTTCTTTTTCTGCAAACTACCTTTAAATAAATGGAAAAATATTAAAAACAAAAAAAAATTTCGTAGGATGCCCCCATGCAGTGTATCGTCAGCTTCACTGCCGATAGCACCAGCTGTTGCTGCTGAAGAGTTGGGGGCAGCAGCTGGGGTGTTTGTAGTGTGTTTAACGGTTTTGGAGATATAAATTAAATCAAATAAACAAAATTAAAAAAACTACTTCTTATTTGCCTTAAAAACAACAAGAAGATATATTAAATAATCTCATTCGCCTACGCTGCGCTACCTCCCCCCTGCTGCTGCGAGCGCTGGGGGGTCTCGATGCTTCCTTGTTTACTGTTGCGGTGTATATACACCAGAATGAAGAGCATTTAAATTGCATCTTTATAATATATATGTAATACAATACGTATATTCAATATCAGCCTCTCTGCTGCAGCAGACAGCAGCAATCTACAGCCCCAGCTCGCGCCCTCCGGTCTCTTCAACTTCTCTTCTTGCCTTTCTCGTGAATGTGCAATTAGTTTTTTCTTTTTAAACTACAAATGCAGACTGCAGCAGCAGCATATAGCGGAAGCAAAAAACAGACGCTGCTGCAGCAGCAGGCTCAACTACCGCAGCAGCAACTCTAGACAGCCATTCGTTTCCCTGCGAGGCCCTGATCGCCCCAGACTTTATTTTTGTTTTATTTTTGCTATATCTTCACCAAATGATTTTCTTGTGAGGTCTTCAACCCCTTAAAATCTCACGGGGGGCCGCGGGGCCCCCCCAGCTGCTTACTGGGGGGCCCCCAGCTCCTCTCTAGTATTCGTTTGCTGTTGCTGCAGATAAAGGTTGCAGCAGCAAACTCTGAGAGCGTTTTCACTCATCTGCTGCTGCTGCGCTGCCCTCGCCTACTGCAGAGGGGCCCCTGTGTCTCTAAAGGATAGAGGGGCTCCAGACTAGCTGCTGCTATCTTTGCAACAACAAACAAAAGACAAAGAAACAAACAGAGCAAAGGCATGTATCAGAAGCAGACATATCTCTTCTCGTGCTGCAGACAAGACGTATACGCCTTCCACCATCGAGGAGAAGGAGCAGCAACTCCTCACGGGGTCCTAGCAGCGCCAGCAGCAACCGCAACTGCTGCTGCTGCTGCAGCAGCTGCAGCAGCAGCTGCTGCTTGCATAGTGCAAAGGCATTAGAACTGCATGCCTTTGATTTTATGAATTTGTCTCTTTTACACTCACGAAAAAACTTATGTGGCGGCCAATGGACCAGCAACTGCAACCCAAGCAGCAGCAGCAGCAGCGGCAGCAGCAGCAGCAGCAACAGCAGCAGCAGCAGCAGCAGCAGCAGCAGCTTGTCGGCGGAGAAGGAATTGCGCATCGGCCTCTACGGCATCCCTGCAGCCCAGCGAGGGACTTCAATTTTTATGGCTGGCGTTGCAAAGGCTCGGCCTCATCCCCGCAGCTGCACCCACTGCAGCAGCAGCAGCAGCAGCAGCAGCAGCAACAGCGAGCTCCTGGTGCTCGCGCGTTCCCGTTCGCTGCTGCCGCTGCTGCACCTCGTGGGTTTTTGCAGCAGCTGCTGTGGCAGCAGCCGACGCAGGAAGCTGTGCAGCGACAGCTTCCTTCACCTTCTGCTGCTGCTGCTGCTGGAGGTGCAGCAGCAAGCAGCTTTCGTTTGCCTAATACTATTAGCGACAGCGTTTGGTGTCTGTGCAAGGGGGCCCCCCTGCCGCCTCCTGCTGCTCGCGCACCTCTTTCTTTGCTGCAGCCATTGAAACCCTTCATCAGCAGAGGGTCTCGTACGGTGTACGTACACCTCAGCAGCAGCAGCACTCTCAGCATCAGCTGCGCAGAAGCAAGCCAAGCAACCACAGGCTGGCTGCTCTCTCGCGTGCTGCAGCACTTGCGAGAGAAAGGTAAATAGCGAACGCTGCTGCTGCTGCTGCTGCACTGCCACTGGCGTTGTTTCGTGCTGCTGCTGCACTGCTGCTGCTGTCTTGTTGCGCTGCTGCTGCTGCTGCACTACTGCCGCAGCGCTGCTGCTGCTATTTTGTTGCTCTGCTGCATGGCTGCTGCTGCAGTATTGTTGTTGCATGCTGCTGGCTGCTTCTCTACTGCTGCGTGCTGCTGGCGTTCAGCTGCTGTGAGGGAGGTGTTTTGCTGCTGCATGCAGCTTGCGACTGGAGTGTATGGATGCCTTCTTCTTAAATGTAATTAATTTCATCTTTTGTTGTTTGCTGCTGCTGGCGGTCTGTTTGCTGCAGGGGAGGTGGAAGCCGCTGCGCACCTCGTGGCGCTTTGCTGCTGCCCCTGCAGCAGCAGCTGCTGCAGCAGCAGCAGCAGCTGCGGCAGCAGCAGCAGCAGCAGCAGCAGCAGGGTGTTGCTGTCTCCAGCTCAGCAGGATTGGGTTGATGCGCTGCTGCAAGACCGAAGTAAACCACTCTCCTTGCTGCCAGAGGGCCTCCACCTCCGCTGCTTCTATGCTGCAGCTCCAGTGCAGGAACCGGCTTGTGCCCCTGCTGCTGCTGCTCCTGCTGCTGCGGCAGCAGCTGCACGCGGTGCTTCTTGCGCTGCTGAGGAGGGGAAACAAGCAGCAGCAGCAACTGCAGCAGCAGCAGCAGCAGGTGGAGGACCGCCTGCTGCTGCTGTTCAGCGGATTTGCGAGCAGCAGCAGCTCAAGGGGCAGCAGCAGCAGCAACGCCTCACTACGCACAGTGTATTGACTGATCCTGCTGCGAGTAGTGAAGCTCCTGCTTCTGCTGCTACTGCTGCTGCTTCTGCTGCTGCTGCTGGCTCTTTAGGCTGTCACAGCACAGACGGCGGCTCTACTGCATCCACCATCAGCACCGTGCACCCGCCTCGCACGGATACAGGCAGCAGCAGCAGAAGCAGCAGAAGCAGCAGCAGCAGCACCGCATTGCGTTTGTTGGCTGCCTGTCGGAGCCCTACCCTTACTTCTCTTGAGTTTCTTCTTGCTGCTGCTGAGGGTTCAGCGCGTGGGGGCCTAAGAAGGCATGCATCACCATCAGCGCAAGCAGCAGCAGCAGCAGCAACATCATCATCATCAGCAGAAGCATCAACAGCAGCATCTCCATCCGCGTCAGCAGCAGCAGCAGCAGCAAAAGCAAGAGCACCATCATCAGCAGCAGCAGCACCATCATCACCATCAGCAGCAGCAGCACCATCATCACCATCAGCAGCAGCAGCATCATCATCATCAGCAGCAGCAGCAGCACGAGCATCAGCAGCAGGCGCAGCAGCTGCAGTAGCCGCAGCACCATCACCATCATCATCATCAGCAGCAGCAGCAGGAGGATTATTAAGCAAAGAAAGGGCTGTATCTTCTTTGTGTGTGTCTGGCTTAGCTCTTCGGTGTTGTTTATGCTGTTTTGCTGTAGAGAAGCAAATAGGTAGCGGAGGCTTTAGTAGAGTATTTCGAGTTAGGAGTAGGCGTAATGGTTTGCTGCTAGCATTAAAGGTTGTTGAAAAGAAAAAGATTAATGATGTTCTGAACAAATATAGAAATGCATTAATAGAAAAAGAAGTCTTAGTCTGCTGCTCAGCTTCCCCCTTCGTGCTGCAGCTGCTCTGCGCCTTTCAAACAAAAACAAAAATGTTTCTTGTCACCGAATATTGCCCTGGAGGTAAAAGCAGCAAAAATATATTATTATTATTGTTGTTGTTGTTGTTATTATTATTATTGTTATTGTTTGCTATTATTATTACTATTATTATTAGTTGTTGTCATTATTATTATTATCATCATTATTATTATTGTTGTTATGATTACTGTTATTATTATTATTGTTGCTGTTATTATTATTATTATTATTGTTATTATTATTATTATTATTAGTTGTTATTGTCGTTATTATTATCATTATCATTATTATTGTTGTTATGATTACTGTTATTACTATTATTGTTGCTGTTATTATTATTGTTATTGCTATTATTGTTATTATCCTTGTTGGTTTTGTTTTATTTTGTGTTGTTATTCTCGTTCTCATCCTTCTTCTTTTTGTTATTGTTGGTCTTAGTCTTCTTGTAGTTTATTCTTATTATTATTTTTATTGTTGTTGTTCTACTTTTTCTTATTCTTGTTCTGGTGTTGTCTGTGCTGCTCTTTTGTAGAGTATTCTGCCGGTGTCTTCCCCGTGTATTAATCTGCTGCTGCTGCTGCTGCTGCTTTTGCTGCTGCAGGGGACCTTGCTGCACTGTTGCGTGTTCACAAGACTTTCAGTGAAGAAGTGGCACGGTTTGTGGCGGTGGAGGTGCTGCTGGGGCTGCAGCAGCTGCAGATACACCGCGTGGTGTATAGGGACCTCAAAGCAGCAAACATCCTCATCGATCTCGATGGGCATTGCAGGCTCGCAGACTTCGGCCTCGCCAAAAGACTCACAGGTATGCACACTACAGACATGCAGCAGCAGCAGCTGTTGCGGATGCAGCTGGTGCAGCAGGAACAACAATAAGAGCTGTAGTGAAAGCAGCAGTTGCTGCAACAGCAGCAGCTGCAGCAGCAGCAGCAACAGCAGAAGCAGCTTAACAGTAGCAGCTGCAACAGCAGCGGCAGCAGCAGCAGCAGCTATAACAGCTTGAAGCAGCTGCAGAAAGAATAGCAGAAGCATGGATATCATCATCCTTTGTTGTTATTTCTATGCATACACCCCACACATACAGCTGCACCTGCTCTACGGTGTATGTACACCGGATTAAATTTATAATTTGTTTGTTTTTGTTTTCTTCAGGACAACTCAGAAGAACTTATTCTTTCTGCGGAAGTCCAGAGTATCTCAGCCCTGAAATGCTCCTCGGATCGGTGAATAACCCTAAACCCTAAACCCTAAACCCTAAACCCGCGTGTAAATTCAAAGAGTAACTCCGCCCTGTGGGCCTCTACAGGCGCAGCTCTGCTGCCTAGCCCTTAGCAGCAGCAGCAGCATGCGCAGCAGCAGCGGCAGCAACAACAGCAGCAGTAGCTGCAGCATGCACATCACCAGCAGGAGCAGCAGCATACGTGGCAGCATCAGCGTGGATGAATGTATAGCATTTGGGGTGTATATACAGCTGCATGCGTTGCTTTGCTGCAGGGTCATGACTACAGTGTTGATTTTTATGCCTTTGGCTGTCTTCTCTACGAAATGTTGGTGGGCGCTCCGCCCTTCTTTGCTGCTAACCGCAACGTAATGTATATGAAGATCATGCAGGGTATGCAAACCCTAAACCCTCATAAACCCTCATAAACCCTGATAAACCCTCATTAACCCTAAACCTTCATAAACCCTAAGCCCTCATAAACCCTCACAATTCCTAAACCCTAAACCCTAGTTTTTGCTCGGTAGAGTTTGGTGATTAGTTTCGCCGTCTATCCTTCCCTTCTTCTATTTTATTTTGTTGTATTTAATTTAATTAATTATATTTTGCTTTATTGTTTATTTAAACATTTGCAGGCCGTCTATCCTTCCCTTCTTCTATATCTATTTCTGCTGAGGGTAGATCGCTGATTTCTCGTCTTTTAACAAAAGAGCCGCTGCTGCGTATTGGAGTTTGCGGGGGTGTTAAAGAAGTAATGCAGCATAGATGGTTTGAAGGCATATCTTGGAATGTAAGCACTTCTTAATTCTCATTATTATTATTATTATTATTATTATTATTATTATTATTATTATTATTATTATTATTATTATTATTATTATTATTATTATTATTATTATTATTATTATTATTATTATTATTGTTATTCTTGTTGTTGTTGTTTTGCATATATGGTTTGAAGGCATATCTTGGAATGTAAGCACTTGCTGTTCTTCTGTTTAGTGTTAATATTATTATTATTTTATTTTTATTTTTACTTTTATTGTTCGTCTTGTTGTGTGTGCGTTGTTTGTTTTTCTTTAGGCGGGGGATCGTCTGCGTATGCCCAGCCCTTTGCTGCCTTTGCTGCGAGAGGCCCAGGCTAAGGCCCCCTTCAAAGGAGAGGAGTATGTTAGGTTTATCTGTTTACCTCTCTTCTTCTCTTTTTGTCCTTCTGTCTCTTTATATTGTCTATTTCTGTCTCTGTCTGTCGCGCTGTCTTTGTTTGTCCCTTCTGCTCGCTGTCTCCGTTTCTGTCTCTATCTCTGATGTTTATATATATATATATATATACTGAGTCTAAATATATTTGTATACGAGGCTGTTTGACATGAGTCTTCACTATAGTGGCATGCATGCATGCATGCATACATACAAATAATATAAAGCAGTCTGCATGCATGCATACAAATAATATAAAGCAGTCTGCATGCATGCATACACATTGTTTTATGTTGTGTGCTTGCTCAGAGTGAAGGTTGGGGCTCCTTCGTTTGCATGCGAGCGAGGGCGTTGGGCGCCTGAAGGTGTTTGTACTTCTCTTGGTTTTGATTATACAAACCCTTTACGTCTACAAGACCTAATGACTGGCGCGGGTAAGGGCACAGATAGCAGCAGCAGCAGCAGCAGCAGAAGCAGCAGCAGCAGCTATTTGTGTATATTATCCCCCTGTGCTGTACTGTAACCAGAAGAGAGCTTTATTATTTGTCTTTGTTGCAGTTGTAGACAAAGAAGAACATCCTTTTTCTCTGTCTTTGTTCGTGGTGCAGTCAGCACCCCTCATTATTTCTTGTGTTTCTCTATTATCTGTCTCCAATATATAATATATATATAATAATACATAATATGCATTATATATATAGAGTAAAGACATGCATACAGCAGCCAGACTTCTTTGTTTCTGTTATATTATCCAAACAACTTCGCTTTCTTTTTTGCTTTTTCTTCTCTGAGAACAAACTGCGGCTGTCTTCTTCTCCTTCCTCTGCGCATCTGCAGTGAACGCCACAGTGGAAGGCGCATGCGTTAACCCTGCACCAGCAAACCCCTCATCCGATGCAGCAGCATCTGCAGCATCATCAGCAGCAGCAGCAGCAGCAGCGGCAGCGGCAGCAGCGGAAGGAGAAGCAGCAGACGAGAAGGCAGCAACCGGAGCAGTAGCAGACGAGACGGCAGCAACCGGAGCAGCAGCAGACGAGAAGGCAGCAATCGGAGCAGCAGCTTCAGAAGCAGTGGCACGGGAGGCAGGAGCAACAGAAAGAGAAGCACCAGCAGCAGCACCTGGTGCAGCAGCAGCAGCAGCTGGTGCACCAGCAGCAGCAGTAGCAGCAGCAGAAGAGAGCAGTGCTACTGCGAGCAGCAGCGACGCAGTTTCCTCTGTTGCTCCCCTACGGGTTTTCTCTGAGTGCGAAGCAGCAGCATTTAAGGGTTTAGCTGCCTCTAATAGCTGTTTGAGCTATGAGGCAGAGAGCAGTAGCAGCGGGGAGCGAGCGGTGCAGCACGAAGAAGACAAGGGCCTTGCAATGAACAATGACGATGATAATGCTGCAGCTGCTACTGCTGCTGCTGCTGCTGCTAATGCATGCGCGGGGTTGTCTGCTGCGGAGACAGAGACGAGAACAGCCCCAGCCCCAAGCGAAAGCCCCTCAGAGGAGGAGCAGCAGAGCAGAGAGAAGGAAAATAAAGACAACAACGCAGAAGCAGCAAACAACAGCAACGCAGCAGCAGCAACAGACAGCAGCAACGCAGCAGCAGCAACAACCACAATAGCAAACAACAGCAGCACAGTGACAGCAAACAGCAGCAGTACAGCAGCAGCAGACAGCAGCAATACAACAGCAGCAAACAACAGCAATACAACAACAGCAAACAGCAGCAATGCAAGAGCAGCAAATAGCAGCAATACAACAGCAGCAAACAGCAACAATACAACAGCAGCAAACAACAGCAATGCAACAACAGCAGCAACAAAGATCAATGCCCCCTCTTCCAACCCTCAAGAGAAGGCTCAGGAAGCCCCCCACCCCCAGCCGGCTACTCACGCTGCAAAGACAGCCGAGACAGCAACCAGCAGACAATTAGGAAGAAAGTTAAAACCAAAGGTCAATGCAAACAACGCCAACACTTCAGACTCTGCTGATGCATGCACGCTGCGCTCCCCGGGAGCAGCAGCCGGAAGAAAAAAAATACAAACAAAAGATCATTCGGCAGCATTTGCTGCTGCTGCCAGCAACAGCAGAAGCAGCAGCAGCAGTAGCAGCAGCAGCAGCAGTAGCACTAGCAGCAGCAGCAGTGGCAGCAGCAGCAGTAGCAGCAGTACCAGGAAGGAACCGCCTGGGGGAGAGGGTGCCCCAGCTGCAGGCGGTACCACTGCTGCTGCTGCTGCTGCTGCTGTGTGTGAGAAGGGGCTGGGGAGGCAGAAGTCTTCTCTGCCCCGTGTGGCTTCGCTGGCGTTGCAGCGTCGACTGCAGCGGGAGCGATTGAGTGTAGGGGGTGATGGTGGTGTCAGTGGAAGCAAAGGGCGCTCTACAGCAATTTACAATGGGCACGAAGGAAGCAGCAGCAGCCTACGCCTTTCTATGCGTGCTCCTGCAGCCAAAGAGAGCGTCAAGACAGCGCAGAAAGCCACTGCCCACACTGCCGGTGAATCAGCAGCACCACCACCACCACCTGCTGCTGCTGCCGCTGCTGCTGCTGCTCCTGTGCGCGTCTCAGGGGCACCTTCCCCAGGTGCAGCGCTGGCAGACCGCAAGGGGAAGGCCGAGGCGAAGCACGGGGCCCCGCAGCTGCAGCAAGGCAAATCCGCAAGAGCCGCGTCTCCCCGCTGGAGCCACCACAGCACAGCCTCAGCAGCAAGGAAGTAAACTGCATGCAGCGTACACAACAAATCCAGTGCTGAGTCGATGGTTGCTGCTGTGATATGAACAGAAAACAGCGTTGGAAATTTCCTTACGCTACAAACCCATACATATATTAATGCATATATGTGCATATATATATGTATATGCATATATATATATATATATGTAGAAGCATGCAACCTAGCCGAGCAGCACGACGCCAGTCTTTCCTCGTTTTTTTCTCTGAAGTGACTTTCTTCTTGAAATTTGAGAAGCAGAAGGTTCGAGCGGCCATAGCACAAACGAAGCCGCTACATGTAGATATATATATATATATATTATTTATCACTTGAAAGCCGCTAAACAGTGAAGGAAGATCGCGTATCAGCCGCTGCTACAGAAATGGGTAGACAGAGAGTGATAGGACGGATTTGTGTTGAGCTGTAAGCAGGCGAGAAGCTGAATCTGTCTTTTATGCCTCAGCATGCACAAGAGTGCAACATCCTTTTGTTGAAATATCTAAAGGGCAGCAACCCTTCAGGCATTTCAGGAATAAAATGCTCGTAGCTGACGACCTAAGAAGAAGAAACTCACGTGTACACCGGAAGTTGTGCAGTGCATGCATGCATAGAGTGTTTCTGATCAGCTCTTTTGGAAATCGTTAGATGCAGTGATTCCCAGATTTTTCATTTATTGAATTCGTCATGCGGAAAAGACACGGAAAGCTGTGGAGGGGGCTTTTATTGGCTACTTGCTGTGAGGCGATGTTGAACATTTCCCCCGGAGTTTCATCAATGACGAAGCAAGAAAAGAATTGTAGGGAGAAAATATTGCGTAAAATGTATCAAATAAACCCCTAATTCTTCTATAGTTCATCACAGAAGACGTGAAATAGTCGCCAATCCGCACTTTCAGCAAATGATGAATCCCATAGACGAGAACAGGCAAAACGCGCCAGTGGGTGAGTGAAAGCAGCGATTTCAGAGTTTATTTGTGAACGAATTAAATGCTCTATATATTAATTTCTTTTTTATAACTTTTTTTTCATGCTTTAAAACCCTTACAGGAGATACATCACCCGCCCCTTCGCCGGTCGTGAACTTACACGTCGACCTGCCTAACACCGACCGATTCAATTCAAAATTCGAACAAGAAAGAAGAAAGCAGCTTCAGCAAACTATAAACACGAAAAGGCGAGAATTTGAAGAAGACATCGCAGGTAGGAAAAATAAATTCAGCCACGAACCCTAAAACATGATGTTGAATTTCTCTGCAAAATACCGGAAACTCTCGCGTGCCTCCTGCAGACTTTCAACAGATTATCAAGCAACAAGTGCGTTAAAATGCTAAAGTTTAGAATGCATTATTTAGGTCTATAAGTCGTTCACTATAGGCAGAAGAAATGAAAGACCTGCTTGCCCTGGCTGAGATGCTGACTTCTGTTTCTAAGGGGGAGCAAAAGGCCTAAAGGGCTAGCTAAACTTCTCTCTTTCCTTTCCGTTGGCTTTCTAAACAAAAATAACTTAAATAATATTAGTTTAACAGCGACTCTACTGCAAATTTCTCCGCCTTTCCAGCGAACAGCGCATCCATAGCCCAGCCACTCACGTTGAATAAACGCCAGGGCGAAACCCCTCCTTAGGAAATTTAGAGAAAAATATATATTATGCGCATTATATATATTATGTATACTATAAATTTTCGTTCTAGACAACTTAGAGGAGCCTTTGCTGCTGCATATTTTTCTGAGTTTCATTTCAAGAATTGCATGCCCCGTGGGGCTGGCGAAACTGGAACGAAGAATCGACGACTTCGGTAATCTTCTGAGACCTCTCAAGCCCCAAACGCTTTAAGTGAGTTTATTCAAATATCTCATTGAAGGTTTTTCTCTTGTTTGAACACTCAGATAATACAACACTTACATTCTACACGCTGCTGTTGCTGCTGGGTGCTCGCGCCTCGGTGCTGCAGCGGCTGCCTCGTTCGTCCTCAGGGAATACCAACAGGCTCTAAAAAACATTTCTTGCGTATCTGGTGGTGGGGGCTCTTTACATGCAGCTGGTACAGATGCTTCAAGGCGGCTGCTGCAACGTGATCTAGGGTCGGCGAAGCGCAGCAGCAACAGCTGCAGCAAGATCTACAGCACCAGGAAAAGCAGCAGCAACAACAACAACAGCAGAAGCAAAAGCATCCGCAGGAACGCCAACAACAGCAGCAATACCAGCAGCAGCGGCATCAGCAGCATCAGCAGCGGCATCAGCACTGGCTGGTCTGCACAGAGGCGGCCTGTATTTGTTTCTTATTGCGAAGAGGCCCTTAGACAAACCTCACGATGTCGATTCCGTGTTTGTTTGAAGATCGCTTCACAGTGCGAAATGTGGACAACAGCAAATTTGAACATGTCAGCAGAATACGCGCTAAGAGCTCTGGCCTTGATGCGGATCTCATCTTAGATGTACACAACCAGCTGCTGCCTGTAGCGGAGAAACAGGTTAGCGACAGCACTCTCGCATATCAGTCGCTTCCGCTGCTGCTGCTGCTGTTTCTGCTGCTGTTTCTGCTGCTGTTTGTTCGATTCAATGGGTAGTTATCTGCTTGCGCAGCTGCCCCTGCCAGGTTCTGTTGCTGCTGGTTTCGGTGTCTTATTTTAGCTACAGTTGCAGCAGAAAGGCTGCTGGTATATTTACGGTGTACGTACAGCTGGTATCTGCGCTGTGGGTATTAGGGGCTGCACATTGGCCTTACAAATTCCCTCGGGGGCCCCGATCGCAAAGACGATGCTGCAGCAGATTCGCAGGTGTTGAACGGCTACGACTATGTTATGTATGGCAAAGTGTTTAAGCTGGAGGAGACATCTTCAGAGAGACGGTGCGCTTTTTCTTTCAGTTAATCCCCTGTCTGTTGATTCTCCTCTTAGAATGCATGCGTCTGCTGCCTTCTCTAATGTGCTGCTACACGAAAGACTAGGGCTGCATGCATGCATGCATGCGAATTTCTTCTGTTTTTGTTTTTTGCTCCTTGCACCTTGTTGTTAGTTAAATGTTGCTGCATTAGCTGCAGCTGTTCACGTCTTTCTTGCTTACTTCCCCCCGGTGCTTGAGTGTAGGTTTTCTGAAGGTACTCTTTTGTTTGTTTTTGCTGCTTCTTCAGGACGTTATATTTGTCTTTTGGGGGTCTCTTAATGTCGTTAGCGGCAGATAAACATGTTGTCGGAGACCTCGAGCTCGATATGCGGGTCTACCTGTTGGTGAAGCGTTCTCCAGACTCTCTAGTAGACTAGCGCTTTAAATAGAGACAAAAAGTAATAAATAAATTGATAAATGAATAGATAAATAAATAAATAAATAAATATCCAGGGAGTCTGCCGATGTGTCTATCTTTCTGTCATTATACCTACCTCTCCATTTATCTGTTTACTTATCTATGTTTTTCTTATATATATCTACCTGCGCATTTATTTACCTACTTATTCTATTTGAGGTGTACGCGCTGCTGCAGTGTGTTAGCGGTGTTTTGTGTGCACCGCAAAAGAGACAAAGAAAAGCAGAGGCTGTCGCAGCAGCTGCTTTTGATTTCTTTGTTTTTTCTTGAACTCGCCTTCAGATTCAATGCTATTATCGTCTTTAATAATGATAGATAGATTCATTTCTGCTTCTCAAGATATCCATCTATAGTCGCCACTGTCTGCATGCAGGCAAGAACATCAGACTGGAGATGTCTATAAACAACAAACAGCGACTTAGATTGAATTAGGGGAAGCCAGCAGCTGCCTTACTTCATTCGTCTGTCTTTCTCTGCTGCTGTCTGTATGCTGTATGCTGTATTCCCTCTTCTCTTCTTAATCAACGCATGCAGCATTTCTTTGCGTCTCCCGCATTAGAACCATTTCTTTCGTCTCAGCCCCTGTGTACACACCAATCAGTGAAGATATACACAACATAAATGAAGGAGAAAGGGGCAAAGGGGCACAGAGGAGCGCAGCACAGCAACGCCCCCCCCTTCAACTTGTTGTAAGTGTGAGTGCGAATTCTTTTCATTAGGCTGAGCCTTCAGAGTCCTCTTTACAATCGTTTTTCAGTATACGTTGTGCTACGCATGCAATTGCCGGTGTGCCAGCGCAAATACAAATACAGCAGCAATATACGGACATAAAATAGTAGCACGTATCTTCATCTGTTGCTAAAGAAGGAAGGGAAAACACTGAGGAGTTCGTAGAGCAGCTGTTGTTCTGTTGTTTGGGTGATTGGTGAGGGCACTGTCGCGCCACTGTATGTCTGATGGCTGGCGAGGAGAAGAATAATACTTTGAATTTAAACAGAAACCAAAGAGAATGAAGGGAAAAATTGCTGCTGGTGTGTCTGTGGGTGGTTAATTTCAACAATTTTCAACTGCTGTCTTCGCGGGGGGGCGGGGGGGCTGCCCGATTGCATAGTATGGGCAGCAATCGTTTCTAGCTGTCTTCTGTTATTATTGAAATTATTATTAATCTGGAGTTATTTCATAGGAATTTTTACTCTTTACCTTAGTATACCTCTGAATATACCCCATGCTCTTCATAGAACAGCGCGAAGACCAGTGGACGGCGCCGCCGACTTCAGGTGTCAGTCTGCTAAAATTGTTCGAATATGCTTCGATTTGTTTGTGAAATACGAAGTTAAATAGACAAAAGTAGGGGAAAACAAAGGGTTTTCATGAAATGTTGCTGCAACACCAGCAAAGAAGGTCCCTCGAGCGCCTCCACACCTACTGGCTGGCCGCCGTCATCAATTGTATGGAAAAATTCATTTTGATGTTTCAGGTGTATATACACCTCCGAAATCAGAAGAAGAGCAGAACGTCTTACTTCATCTCTTCTTGACTTAATTTTTCAGTGTCATTTACTCTTTATTTTGATGTACAAGTTCAGCAAACTGTAATTGTTCAGGGCTCTGCGACCCCTTTGTTTTTCTGTCTGTTTTCTTCCGTTTCGTGGGGGGGAAGCAATAATTTCCCAGTCTACAGTTTGCTTCTTTTTCTGCTTTCTTCGTCTCGTTTTGTTTTATTTCACGATTATTCGATTATTCGCTTCTGCAGCAGCAGCTAACAAGACAGCAGCAGATCAGCACCATGAGGGTGTACTAGAGCGCGGGGTTGCATCTTCCCAGCCACTTCTTCATAATATAAAAAACTTTCTTTTGTTTCATTATTACCTCAGCAGCGTTCTTCTGCTGCCGATAAACTACCGTCGTCTCCGTTGTCTTCTTCGCTGCCCCCGCCGCCGACTCGCACACCACCAGTGCTGCAATGCACCATCTTCCGCAGCAACCGCAAGCAGCAGCAGCAGCAGCAGCGGCAGCAGCAGGAGCATCAGGAGATTCCGAAGCATCTACAAGGGCAGGAGAGTTGTGTGGAGGAAAATGCCGTCTGCTGCAGCTGCCTCGTTGGCTGTTGCTGCGTATAGCGAGATATCTGTCTGCTCGCGATTTGCTGCACTTCGAAGGCTGCTGCCGCAGCATGAGGGAAGTAGGCAAGACTTGGGATGGCCTGTGGAGGCATCGTATCATTTCCGACTTTGTACGGAGGTATGAGAGCCTCCCTGCAGCTTTGGGTATATCAGGGAGTGCCCCTTGCTCTTGTCATATTACAGGAGGCGGCTGTCGTTCTGCTGCTGCTGCTGCTGCTGCTACTACAGCTGCAGCTGCCTGCAGCAGCACAGACGACCCTCTTGGGGGGCCCCCATCCAGCACTCCACGCACATCACCAACAGCAGCAGCAGGAGCAGCAGCAGCAACAGCAGCTGCTGCTGCTACGGGTTTGAATAGGAACGGAAGCCCCTCTGTGCCTCAGTGGCCTTATGATGACGGGGCTCCCTCTGTGCGTCGCAGCACTGCATACACCTTAGGTTTACATCCTTTTACTTGGCGAGTATTATACTTTAGAGTTTGTATGCTGTTGAACAATTTAAAGGGAGGCATTGCACACCGACGAGTATTAGAGAAGGCCCTTAAACCCCCAGCAGATACAACAGTAGAAGGAGGTGTATGCATTACTCTAGACTGCAGACGCCTTCTCTGGTGTAACGGGCAGCAGCTGCAGTGCGTAGATCTCGATCTCGGCTGTCTCCTTTGGTCTTCTCCTCTCCCAACTGAACCAAACAACCTGCACGAGCAGCAGCAGCAGCAGCAGCAGCAGCAGCAGGTGCAGGTGGAGCAGCAGCAACAGGTAGACGAGCAGGAAGGAGGTGCTGTGTTTCCGTCTTTATCTGCTGTTGCTGTTGATGCTTCTGCTGCAGCTGATGCTGCTGCAGCTGATACTGCAGCAGCAGCAGCAGCTGCTGCTGCTGCTGCTGCTCCTTTAGGGGGAGTGTTGTACTCAGGTTCCCTTGGGTCTTCTCAAGGCTGGCGATGCAGATGTTATGTAGTAGCGAGTGCAAGCCACGCCTTTTGCTTCGTAGGGGGGCGTCTGCATGCATTTTGTTTGCACTCGGGTTTAGTAGTTCGGGAGGTTAACTTGGGGCTGTCACCGCAGCAAGCAGCAGCAGCAGCTTCTCCTTTACCTGTTGATGTATGCCATCGTAACAATCAGTTTGTCTTCATCTCTCGTCTTAGTGCTTGCTTCTTTAACAGCGAGACCTTAGACCCTTTATTTACGCTGCAGCATCTCTGCACTCTCCCGCTGCTGCGCATGCATCAGCAGCAGCAGCAGCAACGCAGAGCCTACTGGGGGGGAGAGCGAATAGAGGGGCCCCCTATACACCTCGAGGATTGCTTCGATTTCTGCTGGGCAGGGGCTGCATGCGGCGGTAGACCTCTTCATAAAACCGTTAACTGGCAGCTGCAGCAGCAGCAAAAACAGCAGCAGCCGCAGCAGCAGCAGCAAGAGTATAGGAGTAGCCAATTGCAGCCTACAGATATGTGCGGTTGCTTCTGCCACCTAAACGGCGCCGAGAGAAACGCCGATGCATGCGAAGCTCGGGGCTGCTGGGACGGCTGGAGCAGCAGCAGCAGCAGCAGCAGCAGCAGTGGAATGGGTGGGGGGTTGTTTGCTTCGCGGCGCTGCAACGACAAAGAGATGCAGTGCAGCATTCAGTGCTGCCGATTGCGCTGTAGGCATATCGTTACATGGCACTCAGGGAAGAGCAGGCGGCTGCTTGTGTGGTCTGCTGGTGCTGCTGCTGCTGCTGATGCTGGTGCTGGTGGTGCTGCTGATGCTGCTGCTGCTGCTGCTCCATCAAGGCCTTCCGCTCGCCTTGTGTATGTACTCAAAGGCCACCAGCAGCCGCTGCTGCGGGTGCGGCAGCAAACAGATTGCAGAGATCTGCAAGAATATTTTCTTGCTTCTTTAGATATAGGGGGGACGGTGCGTATATGGCATTCTGCTGCATTCCCGCCAAGAGAATCTGCTGCTGCTGCTGCTGCTGCTGCTGCTGCACGAGCAACAGAAACAGACCCGGATATCGCAGCAGCATGGGAGCACCAGCAGCAGCTGGAGCAGCAGTTGGTGCAGCAGCAGCAGCGACGACAGACGCAGCCTGAAAGTGGCAGGAGCAGCAGAAGCAGCAGCAGATATTCATCCCCTCTTGTCTCTGAGGAAGAAGAAGAAGAAACAGCAGCAGCAGCAGCTGTGGGGTGTATAGCCATCATCCCTTCTCTTGACAGCTTCTGGATCCACCGCATTTCTCTTTCTTGTCACGGCCTTCTTACTCTCTGCAGACGCATGCAGCCCCAGCAGCAGCAGGGGCAGCAGCAGCAGGGGCAGCAGCAGTTACAGTTACAGCATCAGCAAGGGGAGCAGCAGCTGCTGTTGCTATGGAAGCTGCATGCGCCTTCTCTCTCCTCTCTTCGAAGCAGAAAGCAGCAGTTTGCTGCTCCTCTCTCTCTTCTTGACTGGGGATCGTGCGATCCCGACTGGCTGTGGCAGCAAACGCTGCTGTCTTGGCAGCAAACTGGCAGCAACACTGAGCCCTGCGCCTTTATGCAGAAGGTTGCATTCGTTCTTAGGGAAAAGCGAACGGATGCTGCTGCTGCTGCTGCTGCTAATGCTGCTGCTGCTAGTGCTAATGCTGCTAATGCTAATGCTAATGCTGCTAATACTAATGCTAATGAGGCTGTTACTGCTGCTATAGCTGCTGCTGATAATGATGCTGTTAATGCTCAGGCTGCTCCGAATGCTGCTGCTGCTGCTGCTGCTGCTAATGCTACGGGAGTTCATGGGGATGTTCCTGCTGTACCTGCAACTCTCGGTGCTGTTGGTGATCCAGCAGCAGCTTGTGTTGTTGCTGCTAGAGATGAGGCAGCTGCTGCACCTCCTGCCTTGCGTCTAGCGGGCACACCTCCTGCTGCAGGGACAACTGCTGCTGCTAATGCTGCTGCTGCTGCTGGCTTGCTTGAGGAGGCAGTTCCCTCTACTGCTGCCGCTGTGGCTAGCGTTCCATTGGCAGCTGGTTTTGCTGCAGCTGCAGACGCTGCAGCAGCAGCAGCAATCTCAGCTTCATTTGCTGCTCCCCATGATTCCGTTGCAGCTGCTGTTGCCGAAGCTGCACCTAATGCAGGAGCAGCAGCTCCAGCAGACACAACAGCAGCAGCAGCAACGGCAGCAGCAGCAGCAGCACGTGATCTTCAGATGTTTGAATCGAGCAGAGAGGGAAGCGTCAGCTCAGCTGATGGCGAAGGACCATCGCTGCTGCTGCGGAGCCAGGGCAGCGAGGACAGCAGCAGCAGCAGCAGCACCAGTTGCTGCAGTTCCTCCCTCATAGGCCTTTCAAGCATGGGATCGATGACTACACACACAGGGTCCCGCAGGGGCAGCTCCCTTGAAGCAGACAGGAGCAGGTTTGGCAGCAGCAGCAGCAGCAGGAGCAACATCAGCAGCAACAACAACAGCAGCAGCAGCAGCAACAGCAACAGCGACACCGGCAGCAGCAACACGGGTGGCAACAGCACCAGGCGTCAGGGGGAAGGAGCGGCACTCCTTGGAAGCAGGCAGGCATCCACCGCTGACCCCACAGTCCGTAGCAGCAGCAGCAGCAGCAGCAGTGGCAGCAGCAGCACTCTTCGCAGCCCTTCCAGCAGCAGAAACAGCAGAGGAGGGAGCAGGAGCAGCAGGCGCAACAACACCGCCACCAACAACAACAATAACAGCAGCAGCAGCAGCAGCAGCAGCGAGGACATAAGTATGCGTCGCATATCGGTTTGCGGTGTATATACACTGCCGAAGAGCGCTTTCTTTGCAGAGTTTAGTGCCAAGGGGTTAATTTCAGTGTTATGTGGTGAAGATGAAGGCGGAGGAACAACAGAAGCAAACAACAGCATGCTGAGTGCTGAAGCCTTCCCGCCCCGTGCGCCTCATTATAATCCTTTTAAGCGCTGTCTCTCTGATTGGCTGGTCTTTGATCTTGAAAGGCTTCAGAGAGAAGAACAAACTGAAAGGGATGCAGCAGCTGCTGCTGCTGTTGATGCTGCTGATGCTGCAACAAGGACACTCCCAGCAGCAGCAGACACACAAACAGCAGAAACTGCTTCTGCTGCTACTGCTGCTGCTGCTGATGTAGCTTCGCCTGCTGCTGCAGCGGGAAGGGGCAGCAGTGCTGCTGCAGGTGTTGACATGGATGTGGATGAAGCAGCAACTGCTGCTGCTGCAGTTGAGGTTTATGATGAGGCAGCAATTGCTCGGCGGCGTTCTCGCAGCTGCTGGTGGAGACAAAGTGCAGCAGCAGCAGCAGCAGCAGAAATGCCTTCTCGGCCTCTTCAGGCTTTCTACGAGCCCGCAGCAACAGAGTGGAGGCTGCAGCAGCAGCAACGCGCAGCAGAAGAAACAAGGAAGAAGCAAGCTATTAAGTCCTACAGAAAAATCGTACTCTGCTGGATTGAGAAACAAAGAAGGCGTAGATACGCCGCAGCAGCGGAGGCAGCCGCAGCAGCAGCAGCTGCTGCTGCTGCAGCGGCTGCCTCTGCCGCTGAGGCTGAGTCTGCCGATGCTGCTGCTGCACCAACAACATCCGCTGCTGCTGCTGCAGCAACAACCTCCGCTGCTGCTGCTCCTGCAGGGCGAGAGGAGCAGCAAACGCAAACAGCAGCACATATTTCGCGAAGTGCGCAGGCTGCAGCACTTGGAACACCACCCCTCCAGGAAGACCCCAGCAACAGCAGCAGCAGCAACAGCAGCAGCAGCAGCAGGCGGCGGCGACGGAGTAGCGAGCCCAGCAACAGGAGCAGCAGCATGAGGAGCAGCAGAGTGCGTGCGTCAGTCTCACCTCGCGTGAGCAGCAGCAGCGACATGAACAACAGGAGCAGCAGCAGGAGCAGCAGCAGGAGCAACAGCAGGAGCAGTAACAGGTGCAGCATAAGGAGCAGCACAGGTGAGGGTTTGTATGAGTGGTGGCCTTGGGGTGTAAAGCAGCAGCAGCTGCACCCTCTATGCAGCGTTGTGTGGGTAAGAGAGAAGGCGAGTGCTTGGGCTTTGATTGACTGGAAGGTAATTCAAATGTCTCCTTCGGGGTCTCTTATCATTCTAGATTTCGCACACCCTGATGCTTCTCCTGTCTGCCCCTTCGCTTGCCTCTAACAATAATCATACAAGCAATACTTTTGCGGGCTGCTCCTCCTCCTGCTGCTACTCATGATGCTGCTGCTGATGCTGATGCTCCAGCTGCTCCTAAATCTGCTGCTGATGATGATGCTGCTGCTGATAATCATGCTGACGACGCAGCAGCAGCAGCAGCTGCTGCTGCTGCTGCTGACGATGAAAATGCAGCAGCAACAGCAGCAGCAGCAGCAGCAGCGGTGCAGCTTCAGGAAGCCCGCCTTGCTGGGGGGGTTTTCTGCGTCTTTGTTTGAGAGGAGCAGCGCTGCTGTTTTTGTTTTTTTTTGTAATTTTAATTCAAATAAACTGTCGCACAACTGGCAAGATAAAATTTACTTATTTCTGGGTATATACACCTCTGATTATATATATATGTAGATATATGTATATATATATATATACGGATGTATCTACCTGTATATTCTAGATAATAATATATATAGTAGATATATATACATATATATACATATATCTACATATATTGGTATACATTAGTATATATTGTATGCATATGAATACATATATATATATATATATGTATATTAGCATATATTATATACAAATATATATACATATGCTTATTTCAACATATACTCACTCTAATTTAAACCTTAACTTAGCCTAATTTAGACATTTAACTAATCTCACTGTGCAATTCATTAAATCGTATCTAGAGTAGACTAAGTCAATGATTAAAATAATCATTTACTTAGTCTACTCTAAAGAGCTATTTTATAACATATACCTATATTAATATAAGCATAATCTTCGTCTCATCTAAAGATATTCTCAATCCTAACTATATATATTATATGTATATATATATATATATATATATGTATATATACAAAGTAGATACAGTAAATGAAAGAGTATAAATATCATTATTTATCTGAGTAAAGTATCTCGCAACAAACAAATAAACCTGCAACAAATACCCAACAAATAAAACAAAATACCCCCAAAGAGTTCGGTTGGTGCTCATCCTGCTGCCGCTGCTCTTGCAGCAGCAGCTGCTGCTGCTCTTGCTGCAGGGGAAGAAGCTGCCGCTCTCGCTGCAGCGGAAGAAGCTGCTGCTCTTGCTGCAGCAGAAGCTGTTGCTGCTGGCTGTGCGTTTTCTTTGGGTATTTCTCTCGGCGTTTGCTGCGGAGCGAAGTCGACGGTGAATAATCTTGAACACTCATTAGAAGCAGCAGCAGCTGCTGTTGCAGCTGCAGCAACAGCTGCAGCAGCAGCAGTTAAGCCTCACGCTTGCTGCTATCTTCAGGCTGGCTAGGGAAGTGTAAGAACTCCTGCCCACCCATATAAGGTATCAGCGCCCTAGGAACTCTAACACCTGTTGGCGTTTGATAGTTTTCAAGAATGCAGCAAATGCATCTTTGCGTTGCAACAAGAGTAGCGTTAAGCAGATGAACGAAGGGCTTGCTCTCAGCAGCAGCAGCAGCAGCAGCACCCGCAGCAGCAGGGCCTTCCTTCTTGCTGGGGCTTAGGCGTATCTCAAACTCGCGCGCCTGATAGTCTGTGCAGTTGCTGCAAGAAACTAATTCTCTGAAGTCATTATAGCCTGGGAACCATCCTTCTAAATCATATTTCTTTGCTGCTGCATCATTTAAAGCCCCTGAGACGATGCTTACAACTCTGTAAGGTATTTCTAAACTCTGATAGAATTCTTCTGCTGCAGCAATCATCTCTTCATGCATATCCCAGGATGTCTCCGGAGAAGAAATGCAAAACTGCTCAATCTTTTCAAACTGATGAACCCTAAATATACCCCAGCAGTCTTTACCATGGGCGCCTGCTTCTTTGCGGAAACAAGTGCTGGTCCCCGCATATCGTAAAGGTAATTGCTTCTCCTCTAGACGCTCATGCATATGCAATGCACATAAAGGCTGCTCGCTTGTCGCTATCATAAACAAATCATCACGATCGGCTTCCTGCTGCGGAGCCGCTCCCTTGTTGCCCCCTTCCTTACCCTTACCCTGCTGCTGCTGCTGCTGCTGCTGCTGATGTTGGGTGCTGTCGTGAGGAATGCGGTAGAGGGTTTCCTCAAAGTCTTTCAGCTCTGCTGCTGCAGCCATGACGGACTTCCGTAGGAAGTACGGCGGCTGCACAGGCAGGTAGCCCTTCTTCATGAGGAAGTTGAGACCGTATTGAATAAGAGCATAGTTCAGCATTACTGCGGGGCCCTTAAGATAATATCCTCTGTGCCCAGCAACCTCAACGCCCTTCTTAAAGTCAACCCCTTGCAGCTTCGCCAGCACCTCATGGTGATGAAGCTTCCCAGGAGTTCCGTCTATAACCATCCTATTGGGAGTCCCCCAGGTCCTGACTACTTTGTTATTTGCTTCATCATTGCTAACAGGCACAGAGTCGTGCACTAGATTGCCTATACCTCTCAGAAGGCGATCTCTAGTTTGTGCCGCCTCTGCAGCCTGAGCCTCCAAGGACTGTAGATTTTGCTTGATAGAGGCTGTCTTCGAAACAAGATCGTCACACGGAGCCTTTGGATCTGCCTTCTTACGCTGCCCAATCTCTTTGTTTACTGCGTTCAAGTCCTTGCGCCCCTGCTCCATGTTGTACGTCGCCTCACGCCACTTCTTATCCGCAGCCACCAGCTTATCAACAACTGAAGGGTCTCTCCCTCGACGTCTTTCACTCTCTTCCACTTTTGCTGGGCAGCCGCCCTTCTCCTCCCTCAAAAGATTTATGTCGATCGTCATCTTCTGCACATGCAAACGAAACCCACGCAACACCGCCAGTATGCGAAACTCAACCTGAGGAATGAGGGGAAATCAGAAATTTGAAGACAATTATTGATAAAAAGTGCCTCTAATTAACGAAACACACAATTTAATATTCCAAAGATATATATACCCAACAAACAATTGCTTGAAGAACACCGTTATCAAATTCAAGAAAAACTGTATGCGGCCTGTAGCACATGTAGCGACATCGTTCATGCGCAGAAAGCGAAAACTTACGAGTAAAAAGAAGAATAAAAAGAGGAGAAAAGTCGATTATTTCGTCTTCGAATTCAGACAAACCCGCAGTAGACTCTATTTGTCCTGCTACTGCGGATGCACATGCACGCGCAGTCGCCGCCAGGCCGTGCTTCCACTTAGCACCCCACGGAGAGAAAACAGCAAATAAAGAGTTAAACAAAGACAATTAAATTAACACATCGAACTACGTTGTTCTAAAGGGAATCCTCCAGACACAGACAGCAGCGGCCCGCATCACGCTGCAGACGAGCCCCGTATGCGTGCCCGGCTGGTTTGCAAGGAAAATGATGGTTAATTTACCCGGTTTATCTTCTGAAATAAGAAAAAAATAGATTTAAATTACTCTCATGTCTGTTTCAAATGATTAGAACTACAGGATCAGGTTCAATTCGTGAAAAGGGCGAATGGTAATAGCAAAAAACGTGAAAACTTGAATGTCGCACGGGGCTGGTTTTGTATGAACAGCCACGGCGAAACCTCAACAGCCCCCCCACACAGGGGTTTGCTGTCGCTTGTTGTTTGATTTGTTTATGTTTATCTTTTTTTGCATTTTCTTGATTGAATTTGCTGGAAATAGCGAAAATGAAGGTCTACAAATGCATTTTTTCTGGGGATGAGCTCTGCTCGGACTCCTATCCGCATCTTGTGCCTTTCGGGGACGACTCGTTCAAGGACGGTACTTTCTTTTCCCTTTGCATTTCTTTTAATTTAATGCATATTTCGTTGTTTTCAGATGTTCCAATCTTTACTATTTGCTTTCCGCCTTCGAAAATGAATATCCAGAGGGGGCGGCACCCGTCTGTGCAGGTTCTGACAACTGCAGACGGCTGCGACAGTCGCGGCCCCGAGCGACCTAAATAAAGCTCGGCAAGATATTGATGAATGCAATGAAATATATTCTTATTTATTGTATTTACGTTTACCATGCCTCGTGTTTTTGAATCTTTGCTCCCTTCTGTTTGTCTATACGAGCGGTTTCCGCTATTTTCTGTGCCCTTTTCGTGCGTCAAGACCGTCGTGAATTTCTTTGGGTTTTTGCGTTCAGTTGCCTTCGAGGTTAAGGGAAGCCGCGTAACTAAGGCTGCTGAGGACTTCGGTATTGCCGACAACAGGTATGTTTGTTTGTTAATAGAGCGCGTGTGGTTGGCTGCATTGCAGTTTGTAGTTGAAGAAAAGAGACCTCGTTTCCCGTGTTTGTTTCATGTTGCTTTCATTGTCTCGTGTTTGTCTGTTTCTTTTGATTTGTTTCTGCAGCGAGGAGGGAGAGGGAGGCGTAGAGGATGCAGCGGAAACTGTGATTGATATAGTGAATGCGTTTCACTTGAGCGAGACCTCTCTAACAAAGAAAGACTTCACGACTTACATTAAGGGGTATTTGAAGAGAGTGGTGGATTATTTGCAAGAAAATAATCCTTCAAGAGTAGAGCCATTCAAGACTGAATCTGCTGCACTCGTCAAGAAAATCTTGGGAGGTTTTGATGATTTCCAGTTCTTCATGTCCGAAAGCAACGACTTCGAGGCCTCTCTGGTGTACGCATACTACAAAGATGAGGAAACTGCCCCTCGGTTTATTTATTTGAAGGATGGATTAAAGGAGGAGAAGTACTAAAATATATGAAGCGCCAAGAGGCCTTAAGATGCGGGTTTTTCTTGTTTTGTATTGATACTGTACAAGAATATATCACCGCACTTGTTGTTTTGTTCATGAACGAACAGAAGAATAAACTGGCTCCCGATAATGTTAGATCAGGGGTTTGTTTGTTTTTCTTTCATTCGCTCTCTATACCGATCGGACAATTGGGGTGTAAAGACACCTGACGGACTGTTTAGTTAATGCCTTTCTTTCTAATCTTCTTCCCCTCCAGCTAAACCTGCGGAAAGAAGAACGCCTTATGGCTTTCATGAAGGGGCGATGCTAAACGCTGTAGCAAACCCTAAACCCACTAAACCCTGAACCCTAGGTCCCTTATCAAACAATAAACCCCTAAGACCTCGAACCCTCAGATGTTTACCCAGCTGGCCTTCTCCTTCCCCTGTGGAGGCGAGAGTACAAGTACAACTAATGCAAAGAGTTTACGCAGTAAATGCAAGACAAGCAGTCGCTTGACTGCATGCGCTGCAAAGGAAAGGAAGCCGAAAGTTTGGGTGCATGCATGCATATGCATGCATGCAGATGCATGCATATACCTTCCGAGCAAGAGTTTTGAGCGTGCATACATACCGAACTTCAGCTGCCTTTAAGATAATCTGCGGCTCCCCCTGTAGGTAGCAGCAGTTGCAGCAGCAGCTGCAGCAGTAGCAGCAGTTTTAGGGTTTATTAGCTAGGAATGAAACTCTGTCCAGCACGCACCGAAGCATCGGTCTCTGCGTCTGTGTTGAAGGGGAAGGGTTTATCTGCTGCAGTAGCCTCGGCTGCTGTTGGTGCTAAGCAGCAGAGACGACTCCACAGGTAAGGGTTTCTTACTAGAAGCAGCACCTATACGGTTGGTGTTGCTCACGCCCCTGCAGCTGGAGCAGTGGGCATCGAATGCCTCCTGTTTAGTGGAGCTTCTATGTGCGTCTTCTGGGTTGGTGTATTGCTCCCTAGAACGGCGGTGAGTGCCAGAATTAGCTGCTGGTGCAGAATCTCGCTTTTCGCGTCGGTCTGAGGTGTCTGTACACCTCAAGTCGCTCGTTGAGATCTTACAGCTGCACCCTGTTAAAGAATTCGTCTGTGTTGTTTGTTTATTTTCTTTATTCCTTCCAGCCCCTGAAGCATCGCCTCCTCCAGTGGACCTGGGGCCAGAGGACCATTGGACCACTTTGTTGCATTGGCTAGGGCTGCATGCAGACGGCTGTCTTTGAAGCCCTTGCGACTTCGTCGCCCTGAAAGTCCCCTGAATTGTTGATGATAAGTCGGCGGTAGATGAACGATGTGAAGAAAGAAAAGAGCTGCAGGGGATGCGCTCAGTAGACTCTGCTGTTGCTGCTGCTGCTGCTGCAGCAGCAGAGGATGCTGCAGCAGATGATCCCTTCAATTTCTCCACATTGGCTGAGACCGATGCTCCGGTGCTTCTGAGAGAGGTGGAGGCGCGCAGCAGATCTTTTGAGGCTACACTGGACGCACTTTTACTCCTAGCGAATGAATCCTCAAGCTGCTGGTGCTGTTGCTGCTGCTGCTGCTGCTCTTGCAGCTGCTGGCGCTGCTGTTGCTGTTGTGAAAGATAGAGGCCCTGGGACCTGGTGGCGCGAAAGCTGCCTTGTAGCGTGGAGGACAAGAAGAAGCAGTCTGTGTTGTTGCAGTTGTCCCCCCTGCTGCTGCTGGTGCTGCTATGGGTGCGGCTAGGGGAGCTGCATCTGCTGCTGCGGCGAGAATCATTAAGACTGCTGCTTCTTCTGTCAACAGAAAGAGCAGCAGAAGAAGTAGAAGCAGAAAGCGTTGTGCTGCACCGCTCCCCACAAGGCGGCCGCAGGCGCTGGCTGGGGGACTCCTTGGGACCGAACACCATGGGGAGCAGCAGAAGCAGCAGCAGCAAAAGCAGTAGCAAATGTTATTTCAGGGGTTGTTGCAAAAAGCGCTGCGGCTTCTGCTGTTTCCCTTTTCTTCGGAGCTCTACTCTATGTGCGGGCTTGGGCTGTCTACGACAGCAGCTACAGTCGGCTCAAAGACAAACTTAGAAGATAATTAAAGCAAACAGATGAGTTGCTGCAACCTGCTGCAGCAGGCAAAAAGACAAGAAAAAAGAGAGCAGCAGGTAGCAGGTGCAACTGCTGCTACTGACTGGTCCGCTGGTGTTTAGAGGGACGTGTTGAAGCAACAAGGATAAATGGACGAGTTGTTACTGCTGGTATACTAAAAAGAAAGAATTTTACTCCTTAATATTCTTTTCACGTTCAGGTGTATTGACAGCACAACGCTACAGCAGCAAACGATAGACAGCCAACGGTGAGGCAGGTGACCGCCAGCCTATGTGGGTGTCTCCTCCCATCAGGGGGCTTAATCTATTGCATTTCCCTCCTAATAGACAAACGTTTATGCAGAAATAATCAAAAATACAATTAAAATTGCAGTACTTATTCATGTTGTGCAATTAAAATCAATGAAAAAGGATTAAACTTACGTAAATAAATGCTGCCATGCGGGTAAATCTCGGTTCTATGGTGTAGTGGTTAGCACTGCGGACTCTGAATCCGCCGACCTGGGTTCAAATCCCAGTAGGACCTATTTATTAACATTGTTAAGTTATTATTTAGTAGCATTAATGCTATTATTATTAATGCTATTTAATGCTACTAGCATTATTAACTTGCATTATTAAATGCTAAACGTGTCTTTACTTTTCTTGCATACACCCCCCAAAATATTTCAACGGGTTTTTTGATTTCTGTCTAAGCCCGTGCCTTAATTTATATTAGTCTTATGAGGGGTTGATGTAATTAATTATTCCGCATTTATTTTATCATCTTAACAGCAAATAACAATATAAATAGACATAATAATGAGTTAATTACTATTTTAATGAGTAAAAGG